TCATGGGGCAAATAGATAGATACATAGATAGACAGACAGACAGGTACACAGACGGATAGATTGATGTTGACATGCAAATAGAGCTTTTTTTTAATGACATGTCTCTTCACGGCGGCCGCAATGAATACTTTCCAAAGATTTCTATTATATTTTCTGGAAATTTTCATGGCAGATCATTGTGTGTGCATATGTGTGTGTTAGTGTATTTGCGTTTGTATGCTTTCGCGTGTGCGTGCGTGTTTACACCTCCTGTCTTTAATTATATATGCACGTGTTAACGCCTGTAGTTTTTGATCCCCTCCTTTCACATACCAGTTTTTTTTTGCGGGGGGTGGGGGTTCTTCATATATACTGCGTTATATATGTGTGCATTAGTATGCGTGTGAAAGTGATGGTGTGAATGTAAAAGAGAGAAAGAATAGAAGAACGATGTGTCTCCAGAAAAAATAAAAAACAAAAAAAACAAAAAAAAAACAGAACCTGACGAGTTTGTAAAGGCGACAAAAAGAAAAAAAAATTCTTCAAAAATTCGTTAAATGGAAGAATTACCCAAAATATTCGCGCGAAAAAAAAAAAAAAAAAAAACACTGACTAAATATTTAGATTGCGTTGAGCAGAAAAAAAAAATTCACGATCATAAATAAAATAGAAAGTGTTGAGGGGTCCACCCCTTTTTACACAAATGGACTCACCCAGTATATACATATACTACGACTACGAGAAGACCCGAGAGTAAGACGAGAGTAAAACGAGAGCAAGACCGAGGAGTCGAGTCGAGTCCAGAGTGACAGAGTAAAAGGTTGTAGGTAACCGGAAGACTGAGGGTGAGGTAACAGCGTTGTAGGAGTCACAGTGAGCGAGCACGTAGACTCAGTAAGAAGTCATACAGCGATACTTCAATAACAAAGACTGTATATATATATATTGCTACTAACCCGTATTCCTGGAACTACTAACCTGCTTTACCAGTTTGCATTATTATGTTAATACATTATTATCATATATTCATTCCTGGCGTCATTTGTTATTCATTGGTACCGGATTTTAACCCGGACTCCACAACAGAAAGAAATGCAAAAAGACTGGATTGTGGGTGCTACAGAATGTCACTTAAAGCAAGGAAAGCCATCACCACTAATCGAAGGCCGGCAGAATTGATTTGAAGAAAAAGATGACGGTAAAGGCAGAGGTAAAATTGAAAGAAGGATGCAATTTTTTTTTCCGATTTGTCATTTATTTTTGTAATACCTTTGGCTAAATAGCAGTTCAGTCTGTGTCCTATAGCCTTGGGTCGCGAACAGTCAAGTGGAAGGACAACTCTGTATTCAAATCATGTGGACGGTCGATTGAAGAACTTGAGGCACACTGTGCACCAGTTCTCTGTATTCAGCGCTTCAAAAATGTATGATGGTTTCTTTCTGCACAAGCTTTTACGACAATAATGAATTCATATGTGCGGGTAGTCTGTCTCTTGTTGCTTAGAACTGAACTGCTTGGCCATCATACGTTGAAAACAACCGGAGAGTCAGAAAATATATATATATATATATATATATATATATATATATATATATATATATATATATATATATATAAAAAGAACAGTAAGATAATTACAAAATTAAATTCGGAGATTTCAGCTTCCATTTTGAAAATGGTTAGAACTGTGTAGCGAAAAAAACGATATTTTAAATCAATTAATTTATCATATATATACATATATATATATATATTTAAACCTAGAGAGCCAGACAAATCTACCAAGGTTTCACCTAAGCGGATCGTAATCGAAGCCTTCCTGACGATCGGCTTAGGTGAAACCTTTGTAAGTTTGTCAGGCTCTCTAGGTTTAACTAGGTCTGCTCTACTCGTTGTATTGAGCATTTTATTTAGCTATTTTGGGTACTCGCATCGGGTTTTTTTTTCTTTGGGCCTTGAACTTGTATGCTGGACGATTATTTTCGGTTAACGTACATGTTCTTGGTTCTATCTTTGTTTATACCTTTTTTCCCCTTTGGTATTGACTTCTTTATTAGCAAAACAACACAGCGAAGGTTTTCCGAGCGAGTATATTTTCTTATACGTATAAGATTTATAAAATTTCTATAATATATATATATATATATATATATATATATATATATATATATATATAAATCCTAATGAGTCAAGTACTACCTACCAATGTTTCACCAAATGGGATCATCAGGGTGAACTAAGCGTTATTTATTTTACTTTTGTTCTACTTAGTATATTGAGCACTCTTCGTTTTAACTTATTAGTTTCTAGGAGTTTCTTTTATTTATTTATTTATTTATTTTTTGCACCAGGATTTAAGTTACTGGACGATTTCTTTCGACATGTTCCAGATTTTTCACCCACCGACTTTAAATAAATTTACACACACACACACACACACACACACACACACACACACACACACACACACACACACACACACACACACACACATATATATATATATATATTAATATATATATATATATATATATATATATATATATATATATATATTTTAACAAATAGTCCAATCTTCAGATTCATAGTAGGAATAATTAACTACAAACATGCATACAACATAAGACCCTTCATAATCCATAGCCCAAATAAGTAGTTTAAATACCTTACATAATAGATAACCCTTTATAAGTCGTCAAAAACAAACGTTACGAAGGTTTTCTTTTTTTTTATATGCACAATTCCCTTTCATAATAAAATAAAAATAAAATAAATAAATCTCCATAGACAAACAAACTAGACGAAGGTTAATACATCTCCCGTTTCATTTTAGACACCCCCATCTTTCCCCGACTTGACACCTTGAAAGTATCTCTATACCGCTACTTATTATTAACACCCTACACTCGCCTACCCAATTTAAACAATTCGCCCTTGCTGTTACCATGGAGATTTTGATTTCAATTTTTAAAACAAGTAAATTTCAGATATACGTTATTCCAACAAAAATTTCGCTTGAAGATGGAACGGAGCCCATTTTAATTTAAACTCAATTTAATTTAAAGGATTATATTGAAGTTTTCGGCTCTTGTTTTGAAACATGAGAACTCTTATGTAGCGGTTTGGAATCATATTTTTAATTAAATAATTATATATATATATATATATATATATATATATATATATAAAAAAAGGAAGGATATGTGTGTGTGTGTGTGTGTGTGTGTGTGTGTGTGTGTGTGTGTAACGAATGCACGGCAGCAATTTTCGACGGATTTGTACCGAAATTTATATGCACATGCTCCAAGGTTGCGAGAAGGCCAATACCGACTTTGCATTTCCCAACTCCCATCGATAGATGAAATAATCGATTTTTCATGCTTATACGGCAGTTTTCATGTAGTTTGCGACCATTTTCTACTGGCCAGAGTGATAGCCTATAGCTGGCTGCCACGGATAGGCAGAAAGATTCTATTGGCCTGCGTGAGAGCCAACAGCTGACTGACACGAATATTAACTAGCATGCTAGCATGCAAAAAAAATCGATAGCTGCATTCGTCACAAGTGTGAAAAATTTAAATCTGCATGGCACTTTACTCCAATTGGCTCATTCGCTTGCTTAAACTCAACGTTGATTCTGATTCCGCAGAACTGGGTTGGGTGTGAAAAATGATTTGTTGTTAACAATCTTTTTTCATTTGTTTTTTTTTCCAGTAACGAGTCCTTTTTTTTTAAAGCTGATCGTTTTGTGTTCATTTTGTTTAGTTCTTTTTTCGTAACAGATTTAATGTTTAGTATAGAGCTTAGAAAAAATTCGCAGTGTGAGATAGGCAATAAGTAAGGCATGTAGCAACATCAGCACGGCAAAGGGCACTCCTTTAAAGGCAAGGAAGGGCAAAAATATTTTAAGTCAAGTGATAGCGATTGCTGTATGAGTCGTACGATTTTGAATCAAATACGGGCAACGCCAGGCCATGCTGCTAGTATATATATATATATATATATATATATATATATATATATATATATATATATATATATGTGTGTGTGTGTGTGTGTGTGTGTGTGTATGTGTGTGTGTATGTGTGTATGAACCTGTGCGTATATATATATATATATCGGGTGTAACATCAAAATTTAAAATTCTTGTAAAAATAAATATATATAGATATAGATATATACATATATATAATGTTCATAGCCATTTATTGTTTGCCATATATTCATGAGTGTTATAATCGACTGAGGGTCAAGCAGATCAGTTTCCAGGAAACCGACAGCCCGACACATCACATGAGATTTGATTATAGTGGTGAAGGCCTCGTGCAGGACCATCCACACTTTTTGAAGGGACGAATACAGAAACCTGGTGCACCGAATGCCACAAGGTTCCCAAACGACCCTCCGCAGGTTTTGAATTCAGAGTTGTCCTTCTCCTAGACCAGTTGCCATCCAAGGCTATAGAACCCAGTCTGTCCTGCTATTTTACCCATAGCTGGAGGGAGAGGAAGAGGAATCATACCTTTCCCAAGGGTATTAGCACGTAAGTGAATGTAATGGATTCGACTGGAATTCGAACTCGGCTCTGCGATTCCTCAATCCAAGCCGCTATCCATTACTCCTCCGTATGTATGTATGTATGTATGTATGTATGTATGTATGTGTGTGTGTGTGTGTGTATGTCTGTGTTTGTGTGTGCAATTTTCATATATACTATTTATATATTATATATGAGCGGTACTTATAGGAGAACGCTCAATATCAGTGGCAGAGCTGACATATTTAGTTTGAGTGATGTTAACAGAGAGCTTGAAACCCGGCATCACAAACCCGGCATCACAATCCAACTATCTCTCCCTCTTTTTTCTCTCTCCTTTCTCCATATATATATATATATATATATATATATATATATATATATATATATATATATATATATAGTCTAGGAGATCTGCCATTTAGGCTACCAAGATTTCAACCTTCAGATATCCTGGGCAATATAAGCCAAATGATTTCCTGAC